TTTTTTTTTTTTTTTAGCTGCTGGGTCAATTTACTTTTAACATGTGAATAGGAAAAATTGTTGGCCTTCTGTGATATATGTACGTGCGGTGAAGTTCACAGTTTGGTTTTTGCTCTTCATATTTGAGGTTGATGTTTCAATTTTAATAAATGTAGGTATTTATGTATTTTATATTTATTATAGTTGTACCAGAGACATTTGTTTATAATATTAACACTAGTACAATACCTGTGTACAAGAGTTAAAGAAAAATATATGATAATATGTGAGATACCAAACTTAATTTTAGAGTAAAAATAATATAAAAACATCATGAAATATAGATTTTTGTCATGTCAGCATTCGAGATGTGAGAATCTATCTTTTAGACTCAACACGTTTTGAATTAATATATTGAGAGAGATTGGGATATTTAATTATATTAACTTATATTTAGGTATTCTTGTGCACCCTTTGACAGTAAATATAAAAAATTAATACTTGTTCGTGATTTCAGACACACCCATGTGTGTGAATGCGTGTAGATCGAAGGTAAAAAAGTAATATTTCAATAAAAAAATTGGAGTAACTTATTCTGGAAGTGGGAGTGTATAAGATATTCAATTTTTCATAATGATTTTTTCACTCTACGAACAAGTATGACATTATATAATGGACGTGTATTTTTATTTTAAAGAAATGATGACTCTAGTGATTTATGAAGGTACATTTTAGGTTGATACTTGGGAAGAAACATTTTAGGTTTATAATAATAATAATAATTATTATTATTATTTTCTGTGTTTGTGTGAGTTTCCTCTTCTTTTCACTAATCATTTTCCTTTGTAATTTTCTTCTCTTGTGTTGGTGCATGAATAATAATGGGATGTTTATATTTTTTTGAAGTGTGTGATGAACTTGTTAGGAATCTGCGATTCTTGCTTGAACATGATGGTGCAGACAACTAGGACTGCAAACGAGTCGAGTCGAGTCGAGCATTGGCCTTATCGAACAAAATTGACTTTTTTTTTTAGCTGCTCGAGCTCAATCTCAAGTTTGACTCGATAAAAAATTTCAGTAAGCTCGAGCTCGATTCAAAATCAAAATGCTCGAGCTCGAGCTCGATTCAAAATCAAAATGCTCGAGCTCGACTCAAAAATTCTTCTTCAACATGACGGTGCAGACAACAACATGCTGTTGTACTGTTTGCCATTGTACTGTTTGCCACCCAATATGCACATATTTTACTTTTTACAATGAATAAGTCACATGTATTTTTTTTATAAATTATCCTTAAAATTACCCCCAAAAGAATAAAAAATATCACTCCACGCGCTTTCTCTTTCTTATCAATCCCATAAAAGCCAAACGCACCCTAACAAATTTTGAAACTGCCCAAAAACCAAGTTGAGCCAACAAAATAAACCAGAAAAAAGGGAAGAAAATCTCTCTCTCTCTCTCTCTCTCTCTCTCTCTCT